TAACATATGACTCAAGCCTGCGGAGAAGCGATTCGAAACGGAAACTACAGCAATTTAAGCCAAGCATCCAGATGTTTCTACCAAAGGTCCAAAGCTGATGGATAAGCTTGGAGTGTATGAAGGACGGGAAGAAGGTCCGATAGGTGACAGTGTCCTTGCGATTGAGGGTGGGTCATGCTGCCCCCAGCAGAATGACGGGTATGTCACACAGACGTTAATGCATGAATGTCTCTCGTAATTAACATAATGTGTTTATATGAACTGGGTCATTAAACTGATTTGGCATGAAACAGGTCTAGTTGTGGGATGTTTGTAGTGAAGATAGCTGAATTCCTCATGATGGGCCATGATGTGCAAGATATGAACGATACCGAAATTGCTGCATATCGTAAGAAAATGACAACGGAGTTGTTGGCGTATTCTGCATTGTAGGACTCATGGAATGATTTTTTTTGTTGGGAACTGCCTTCAGTCGGGTTGGTTTATTTTGTGCGTGTATTGTGGAGACCTCTTCTTAAATTGCCCTTTTTTCTGTTTTGAGCGGTGTTACTGAGTTGGGTGTTTACAGTCATTATGATTGACTTATGTTTAATGACTTGAAGCGTTTGGCAGTTTAAGTTTATTTTGCTCACGGTTTGTTTAGTTTTTCGTCATTGAATAGGGTGTGATTAATGTGCGTGGTATAAGTCATGTTGTTTTGTTGGTTTTTTTGGGTGAAAGCGATGCAGACCCGGCGGAATATACTATTTAGTGGAACATTAAATGGATGAATTGTGTTTGGGTTGTCAGAGTTTTTGTCACTGAGCAGTTTGTTGCGGAACAGTGTTTTTCTTTGTGCTCATTAATTAAGGTGAAGTGTAGGGTAATGACTACTGAAATGAATTATGATGTGTTTGAATGCTTTTGGTCATTTGTGAGAATGTCTGTTTTAGGTAGTGAGTATGGTGCTGTGTAGTGAATTTTTGGTCACTGTTTCAAGCAGTCATTTCCAGATTTGTGAGTTTAGTCATTATTGTACATGAAATGAACAAGGGGGAATGGAACCGTTTTCCAATACAAATTTAAAATTGGATAAGGTATAAATGTGTATAATGAATCAGTAAATGAATAAGAAATTGGGGGTTGCACACATGTTCATGAAAGAAGTCAAGCACGGCTTAAAGCAATGGGATTCGAACACGTTTTCCGATTATGTCTTGATGATTTGCATCGTGAGCATGTTTGCCGCTTCCCATGTTCACCTTTTGAAGGGATCCTGCGCTTCTTTGGTCTTCCTGGTGGTCGTTTGGAGCAAGATGGTGGAAGGCAAAGAGTGTGAGTGACGTCATCTGGTACAGCCCACGAATCTTTAGAAGGAATTGGGTGTATGGTCCCACTATATGTAGCCCTCCAAGAAGCAGCAGTGTAGAACGATGATATGTAGTCGTAGCACGACAAACCGTGCCGAGAACGAGTAGCAGCAACTGCATGCACACATACGAAATGGTCCAACTGGAATTCACAACACGTGCATGACCGGTTCTGAAAATTCACCACGAACGACCGGCCGTTCTTGTCAAATACCAGGAACTCAAATGCACAAGCTAGTCTAACCTGCGAATTGTAAACGCCATCAGTTTAAAAATGCTAGGGAATCAGTTTAGAACGCTGTTACGTAATGGGATGGGGTATACGTATAATGACAAGTGAGGGATTCAAATATTTTCGTTCAGGTTGGTGTTTTGACATTGGATAATGATGCAGCACACGTAATGTCCACGGATTGAAGTGCATTTGAAAGCCTTGAAAGACTTTGCTGGTGGAGAATGGTCGGTACGTGTACTGATGTGAGATTTGTGTGTTTAATGACCTCTCCGAGAGGTAAGTAATGACCTGAAAGTATTATAATGACTGCAGGTGTTGAATGTTAATGATGACCATGGTAGAAGTACATGTGATATTTATTTAAAAAATGACTTACTTCCATGACTGCTGAAGCGGCGTGTAGTTCCTTGAGTTCCGCTTCGTAAAATTTTGTCAATATAGATGACGTTGAATTGGCGAGCTCTCGTCGTTTATGGAACCAAACTTGCATCCTCCCCACTAGGAAATCAACAAGTTGTGAGATTGGATATTCACGTGGGATAGCATCAACATTGTTCATCGACTCAGCAAGATTAGAGGTCATTATTGAAAAACGGTTATTTGAGCACGATCTTGCCCACTTTTCTTTGCCGATTGCTTTGAGGTATCCAATGATCCTTGGGTCATCGCTGCTGAGATATCGCAAGAATTGGTCACACTCTACTTCAAAAGCTGCCCTTGCGGCACCATAAAATTTCCAGGATAATGACTTCTCGGAGCCGTTGAAATTAGACTTAATATTCCCGAGAATGTAGAATATGCAATGGCCATGACCCGCTTTAGGAAAGACAAATTTCACAGCCTTGATAATTCCATCATGCCTGTCCGAGACTATATACTCCACTGGGCGGTGTTTAAGGGCTTGCTTTACTCTAGATAGAAACCAGTGCCAATTCTCATCGTTCTCTGCGTCGCATATGCCAAATGCTAGTGGAAAAATCTGATTATTCCCATCACGTGCAACTGCAGTTAGGAGTGTCCCCTTGTAATATGATTTCATAAAGGACCCATCGATGATTAGGACAGGAACACAATATGGCCATCCATCCCTCCAAGCTGCGAGAGAAATGAAAAGATACTTAAAAAAGTGATTTGGTGTCGTGGTGAGTTGGATCAAAGAACCAGGATTAGCCTGACGGAGCATAAAACACATCGATGGCAGGGATGCATATGATTCCTCTGGTGTTCCAAAACAAATTTTCAATGCCTTCTCTTTCGCAAACCATGCCTTCTTGTAAGTCATTGCGATCCCATGATCCCTACGCATGTCGGTAACAATTGAGTTGGGAGGATACAGCTTCATTGTTGCGTCACAAAAGTTGTGTTTTACTAGCTCGGCAACGATGTGATAAGTTGCCTGACGTGTTGTGCCTTGGCGAACGTCAATTGGGCATTGGTGGTCACGATTGTACCTGTAAGACATTAAGGTCAGAATTCATGACCTTTAGTGAAAGGTATGGTGTTATAACATTATTCGTATAAACATCCCGCAGTGTAGACATTATGCGGTGTGGACATTTTGAACATGGACATTATGCGTTATAGACATTATGCAGTGTATAAATTATGCACATTAAACGTAATTAGTGAAGACATTATGCAGTTTAGACGCCCTGCGAAATAGACGAAATGCAGTATTGAATTTATGACATTATGGAGAATAGACATTATGGTGTGTAAATATTATGCACATTACACTTTTTTCCTGAAGACATTATGCAGTGTAGACATTATGCAGTTTAGAGGTTATGTAGTGTAAAGAATATGCAGTGGAGGCATTATGCAAGTAGAGCTTAAGTCATTAAATTCTTCTGTGATCACTTGAGGAACACACATAGATTGTAAAAATCAGCACTATATGATAGAAAAAATAAATACACACCTACGTATATGGAACATGTCAATGCCTGGTAAACGCACTGCCCGAACAGCCCATTTGCACCGAGGGAAGTCCACACACACAACATGGAGCTCAGATTTTTTTGACGTCCTGGTGCGGTACTGGAAACAGTTGGAAATTGCTAGCATCTTCAAATGAAAGTCGAGATCCATTTTGCTAGCATATATGGCATCAACGGCTATCCTGGTTGGATCAAACCGATAAGTAACACGCATCTCCTTTAGAGAGTCAATATCTTGCTGGGACATAACAAAACCAGAGGGGTCGGATCCAGGAGAGTTGCAGCAAACCAATTCCCCATTATGGTCATTACGAACTGAGGACTCATCGCCATGATATGTGTCAAATAAAGACTCCATAGACAAGGCATAATGAGATGATATATTGTCTTCAGAATGAGTTTGCATGGTTTCATGTTGTAGAGCATGACGAACCGATGCGTCCGATTCAGTTTCTTCCTGGGCATCTGAGTTTAAGTCAGAATGATAGCCAAGAAAAATCTGTGGAACATCACAAGGAACTGACACCCCATTTGAAACACTCCTTTCTGCAAAATCACATAATTCAACGCACAAAGGGAAATCACGCAGCGACGGATAGGTGCTCTTCAAACGAAGGTAGGCATGAAGGCTCGCATCATCATCAATGGCGACATGACTTGCACATGAATTAGACATATACGAAATTATAAAAACAGAATTTCCATAAGAAGACGGGACCGTATTACGAATCATCTCCAGCAGGGCTTGGTATGGAGCGTGAATAGGAATGTCAATCTCATATGCATGTGTGTAAGAGAAAACACCATTAGCGTCCCAATCGCCATCAAATTGCAAGAGACAGTGGATGCTCGCGGGTGTTCCAGTTGCAAAATTGGATACAGAAAGCAATAATGAAGAAAACATATTGTGAGGGGAAGGGGGGAGAGAGAGTTAGAGACGGCTGGGAGAGGAGATATGCGGCAGAGAGTATGGCTGAAGGAGAGGGAAGAGCCGTAGAACTGGAAGTAATGGTTTGCTAAAAAAAGGGTAACGGTTAACTAAAATAACGGGGAGTTAATTCCTAATCATTATCACTTAGAAATGAGAAAAAAACGGGTGGCGTGGGTTGAGGGGTATTTTTGGGTGGGCAGTATAGTTTAACTCCTAAACAAGGGAAACAAACATACCACTCCTATCTAGGGAAAACACATATGTTTTGGTCCTAGATGGAACAAATTTTACTTTTTTCATATCATTTTCTCACTATTTTCTTTTCTCACATTTTTTTTCTCTTTTCATCCCAACAAAGCCTAGACTCAACTGTGAAAGAAGTTACCCGAGTGCCCACTCTGCCCAGTTCAATTTTATTTACTCCCCACTAAACATTCGTGAACTGGAGTTTCTTTATCCCGGCCGAAGATGTCAAAATTATTCTCCTTCTCTATCTTCTTCTACTTACTTTCTACACTTTGCGCCGCCCAGGAGGGAAACTCCTCCGCCGGAAACGGAGGCGGAGCGAGTCTGGAGCTCTGGTGCGTGGCCAAAAACAACGCCGAGGACGCCGCACTCCAGTCAGCGATTGATTGGGCCTGTGGAGCCGGCGGCGCGGACTGCGGCCCCATCCAGGCCGGCGGGCCGTGCCACGACGCCTCCGACATCCGGCGCATGGCGTCGTACGCGTTCAACGATTACTTCATTAAACACGGCATGGCTAATGGCACTTGTGATTTCCAGAACTCCGCCGCCCTCACTTCCCTGAACCCTAGTGAGTAACAAATTGCAATAATTTTCCTGATAAATCTAGATTATCATCATGAACTCCATATACTTGAATCAGATTGATTGATTGCTTTTGTCGTTTGTTCAATTGTTTCCTCTTTTGCAGATTTCAATTCGTGCAAGCTCCCATCAAGGTAATTGCTGGAAATTTTTACATAAATATGGAGTTTGAATGAAATTACATTCTAGATTTAGTTTTCTTTGATGATTGTATGTTTGTGCCTACTTTGTAGAATAAATTGTTGATAATTTTCAAAGTTAAGGACTTAAGGGGTCGGACGTAGAGATGTGAGGGAATGTAAGTAGCTGCACATGTGATTTTTAGCTGTTAGACTTTGCTGGTGGAATAGCTATAACTCTTCTGCACTTTCATTTGTTTATACACTCTATACAGTACCCTTATTATGATCTTTCTTTAAAATTGTATGAAGTATAATGCTATTTGTACACCGCCCAAGTGTAAACCATTTTTTACACCAGTGTCTTGCACTGCACAGGTACACACTAGCACAAAATGTCAGTGCAATTTCCAGTGTTGCATTGACCTTTTATGCCAGTGTGTATCTGTGCAAAGCACGAGTGTACAAAGTGGTGTACCTTTGTGGTGTGCAAGTAGCACAATCGTTGTATGAAAGCCTAGTGGAACAAATTTCAAGAATATCAATGGAGTATGTCTCACACTAGAATCAGTTAGTTCATACGGTTTGGCAACAACTTTAGCGTTTTGAAAATATACATTGAGAGAAATGTTTTACATAAAAGATGTATTTTTAATTTTTATACTCCGTACATTAGTAGATTTAGTACAAATGTATGGTTACATTAAGGTCTATGAACAGTGCATAAGTCAGAGCTGTGAGACAGTCTTGCACAAGTTTTTGTATTTTAAATATGGCCGGACGTTCCCCAATTTGTATCCCTACCAAATGTTTTAGTGTTGAATGGACTATATTTTGGCGCAGATGGGTATTGACCTATTTGATTCATTTTATTTTAGTTTTATTTATCTAAATTTTTTTCAGTGCATATAGAACTATGTAACATGTTCTAGATTTGGAGGTCATTAATTTGCTGGCATTTTTTGTGTGCAGCCTAAGCAGACCATTTAAAATAGGAGTAGGAACTTCACAAGCAGATGCGTACGATAGCAGTTCTGTAAAGATTCTCGGGTGGATGTGGGGTTTGATCACAATCTGTTTGTTGTTAGTACCTGCACTCATTATGTGAGGAAGTTAATGCTGGTAGGATGTGTCTCCCATGTTTGATGTGCCAAAGTTGAAGTGGCATTTTCTGAAGATCACCTGAATATATGTACTTCCAGTTGAGGTCTGCATTTTTTTGAAGTATTTGGGTTACGCTGGGTGTACGCTACTTTGGTGTACGCCACTTGTACACTAGTGTGTTACAGACATTGTGTACAAGTGGTATACACCTTTGTTTTTTAAAATGTTTTAATTCAGTTTTGGAAACACCATGGTCTCTTTGCTCTTGAATCTTCCCATTTTGACCAGACGTTCATCCTATTTGGGCAATTGTAATTATAATTTTTAGTGAAAGATGTTGGTTATTTATGTGAGAGTTGCTTTCTTCATTGACTCTTAGGCTCTATTTGGTACACGGAACTCAAGACATGGAATTGGAATTGAGGATTTCAATTCTAATTTTGTTGTTTGATAGCACAAAAATATATGGATTTGGAAACCGTAATGCATACATATTGGAGGTGATGGGTATATCCTTATACCCGACCCGGATAACCGAAAGGGACAGGTCACAACATGACCGGTCACTTTCTTCAATCACCAAATGGGGTTAACTCTTCGATGGGGACGAGTCAAAAGTTGACCGGTCACTTTCCTTAAAAAAGTGACCGGTCACATTTTGGGCGATAGCCAAAATGTCACCTAACGTTACGAAGAATATTCAGGAAGACCAAAGAGGCGGGTTGAGCTCAAGAAATGACCGGTTAACCTTTGAGAAAAGGTGACCGGTCATATCATCTTACTTGACAAACATTGGTCCAGTCTCTCTGGCATGGTGAACCACGTCAAAGATCGAGGGACCACTCCGCCGTTCGTCCATCACGAGGCAAACAGTAAAAGGAATGTTTGTCATCTTGCAGGGTTGATTGGATTGAGAATATCCATGTTATAGTCAATGATTGAACAGTGCTTCTTGGTTGTATTAATAGTAAGTCTATGATTGAACAGTGATTAGATTATGTACAGTGGTCTTCCTTCGGGTTTCCTATTTTGTCCATGGGTGAATAGGGGAAGGTCACAAATCCTCCTCTATAAATATGATGGTATTGGATAGAGGAGGAGATCCATTCTTTATCTCACTAAAAATAGCACACTCTAGAGACAGAGTAAGAAATATAATTCGGACTGAGGAGATTTACCCGGTCTAGGTCATACTTTGTGTTCTTGTTGTGTGTTTTATATTAGGGGTCGAGTGTGTTCAGGTCAAACCCGGTTAACCCAGCCATCTATATTTACACCATCAGAAGGGATTCAATTCCATACAATTTCAAATCCAATTTCATCAATTACGCGTACCAAACGAATCCTTAGGCTTCGTTTGGTACATGGAATTCAAACTATGGAATTGGAATTGAATACTTCAATTCCAATTCTGGTGTTTAGTAGCACAAAAGTTATGTAGATTTGGAATTGATAATGTAAAAAATAAATTACAATTGGTGAATTCAATTTTATGGAATTGAATCCTATAGAATTTCAATTCCAATTCAATTCTAATTCCATCAATTCCATATACCAAACGGACCTCTATAGATTTTTTAGGATATTTGGAATATGTAATTTTTTTGGCCAATTTAAGTAATGAATGTGAATTTGAATATTTGATTTATTTTGAAAAGGGGAAATACACATTAATACTCCTTCAGGTTCCTCACACATAATGAGTTTACACATATAGTCCACTGTGAGAAAATAATAGGGCGTATATTCATCAAATTCTATATTTGAAAATTATTCGACAACAAGTTCATAAATGTCCGAGAAACCTCAATATCATAACGAAATTACTCTCTATTATTTAGGAAAATTTACCTAAATAATATTAAAACATGATGACTTTTCCAATATAGTATCATATGTTTTTATTTTAGAAATCACTCTAAATAAGACTAAGACATAGAGAAAAATACCAAAATAGAACTCATGTTTTTTTTTCCGAAATAGAATTTTGCAGTGTGGTAATGTAGCAGTGCACATGTGCACATTACTATACTTTTTTGGTAATGTATATGACCATATTTGGTAATGTAAGTTCTATTTCGGAAATAAAAACATGGAAGTCCTATTTTAGTATATTTTCAATGTTTTGGTCATGTTTTGGTCTTTCTCCCTTTTTATTTTGCAATGTTGTACAACTAGTCATTGTTTGCGGGTTATTGTTCAAGTAAATGTCTACTGTCACTAGATATTATTCAAACTAAATATGCACAATCACATGATATCTAGACATTATTCAAATACGGAGTACTATTTAAATAATACATTGAAAAATGGCATATATTTCCACAATTCCACCCATGTATTAAATATTACATTAGTTTGAGTGTATTTGTTCAGTTTGATATATTTAGGTCAAATTAAATAAATTTTAAATTTCAATTAGGTAAAAAATTACAATGTATATTAATATAAAAATTATTTAATTAAATTAATCTTGTTGAAAATTTTTAAAACTTTATTTATTTATATATGTATACAATACGAATTGAGAGTAATTGATATTTAAAGTTCTTTCTATTTAAATCAAAAAAGTCAAACAAGAAAAATACTTCCTCCGTCCTTAAAAGATTGCCACAGTTTGATTTTTTTTTGTCAATTTGTGGCACCATTTGGCCATAAATTACATCTAGTTTAAAATAATTAAAAATTATAAAAAATTTACATTTTAAAACTTTATTTAAAATAAATTCAATTTTACTAAATTTTTACATTATGATTAAATATAATTTTTTCATAATTCACAATAAAAGGATGCCACAGTTTTACTAAAAATTCAAACTATGTCAATTTTTAGGGGAGAGTATAACGCCACATGGATGAGGGGCATAAGTTTTTTTTGTCAAGCGTCCCACATTATTCTGTAATTTTTAATTGTGGCGGGCTTAAAAAAATAACGGGGCATTAAAATTTTAAAACCAACTAAACTGAGTGCCGAAAAAGTGTTTGGCTCGGCTCCATGTTTGGCGCGTTATTTCCCAGCCCTCCGAAATCTGAAAAGGTAAAATTGTCCTCCTAATAAAAATTTCAGCGCCCAGAAGCAAAATCGAAACATCAGAAAAAAAAACATTTCACCAAAACTTCGAAAAATCAAACAACAATCGAACCCATCCCTCCAAAACCTTAAATTTTTTTTTGCAGAAACCCAAAATCCTTTCGCCAAATGTAAACTATAAATCTTTGATTCACACCAGAGACTAATCAAATCATATTTACTCCTCCTCTTGGTTTAATTTTCAATTTCATCAATTCCACTGTTCTCTGCAGCTAATTAATTCCCAGTCCTTCAGGTCCGGCCATGGAGCTCGTGGTAGCCGCCATGGTCGACGAGCACGACAACAAGGAGAACTTCCCGCCAAGATCTGCAGAAAAGTTCGTCCCCAAGCAGTCAAAAGACAAATTCTTCAAGAAGAAGAAGAAGAAGAAGAAGAATGGGAGGACGCCATTGAGGGACATAACTCACCTGTTCGTCAATGCTCCGGCTGCGGGGCCCATCTCCGATTCTCAGTATAATCTTCGTCTTCTTCTTCCTCATCCAGACGCATCTTCGAATGCCCGCTCGAAGAGAAACGCGAGCGATGAAGATGAGACTCGGATCCATCATTCTCTGCGCCAGAAATCCGCCATGGTTTTGAGGAAGCATTTCCGGTAGATTATTACATCAGGATTTGTGTCCCCCCGCGTCTTCCGAATTCACAATTTGTAGATTTTTAGACTCAGAATTTGGATGAAATTTATGGTCGAATTTGAGAGACTTTATGAACTATTTAAGTTATGATTTTAACTAGATCAGAGTAATTTTCAAGTACCCTGCCAGACATGTTTGAGAATAGCGTTTGAGATTAGTTTAAAATTTTGAAAACGCTAACATTAAACGTTATTCGTGGATAAACTTTTTAAAACGCTAATATTAATCCAACACTATCCCGAAACACGTTATAAATTAAGTTTCATTTTGATCTTTATGTTTTTTTTAAATACGGGTCAAAGTATACAACTTGTTTTCTTTGAGCATAGAGTATGTATACGGCTTTGATCATTTTAATATTTATAATTACTTTATATAATATGATACTTTAAATTGGTATTTCAAAATTAATTTAATTATAAAGAATTGCTTGTGTTATTTCATGTTACAACTCATTGTATTTTAATGTGAGACATGATAAAATTATGAAGAAATTATCCAAAACTGGAGTTAAATTAAATTTTTATTCTTAAAATAGTGTGAGTGTGTGACACGTGTTTATCTTCAAAGTAAGATTTTGACAATGTAACATATGGAGTATATATTATCATTTCACGATTCATTTTGTTATTATAGATTGATATTATTAGTATGGTAAGAGCATCTCCAACCATAACAAAATGACTTGCTATATGTTATAATTTGACAAGCATATACAAAATTTCATGCTCTAAAGAGTTATTCAAAATTTGACTAGCTTGCTAAAAAATGAAAACAATTTGCTATTTATAACAAACATGCTAGAATATAGCTAAACAAAATTTAATTTAAATTTCTTTTGCAATGATATATACTCCACAAATACTCTGTATAACATTTTTTTGTTTTTTTTATGTGAATGTGATTTTAACCATAGGACGGGTTGTTTTGATTTATTTTATTTATATTTTTTAATTACATAGTGTTAGAATATAAATAACTTTTGCATACATTTACAAGAATAAATACAATTCAAAAACTATTGTGTTTTATGTATTATAATGGTTATTGGAACAAAATATATTTGTTAGTTACTTTCTCCGTTCCAAAAAGAAATATCCATTTACTATTAAAGTCTCTCGGTAACTCTTATTTGTTTGCATATTTTCACTGATCAGTTGATAAAATAAAATATTCTTGTCAGCTTTTGTTTTGTAGAGTTTTCGATGTATTTTTAAATATAAATTTTTTATTTTGTATTTCTTTACTAATTGTAAATAAAATCATTTTAAAAGTTATGGAGTTTTGCACGTTGATCAAAATAAGTAAACATTATGGGACGGAGGGAATATAATATAAGAAGTCATGGTTGGAGAAAGGAGTAAAAAGTGGCTTGTTATACCACTATTTATTTGATTAAAAAAAGCAATAGCAAGCCACATATAGCAAGCCATTTTGGAGATGCTCTAAGTAGGGACATATATGAACCAAATCAGATTGAATACTAAGAGCATCTCCAACCACACTTGCTAAGCATGGCTTGCTAAACTCTTTTTTTAGCATGTAAATAGTGGTATAGCAAGCCANATTTTGCATTATCATGTCCAACCTTTCCTTGTTATAATTTAGCTAAAAAATATATTATAATTGTTTTCACTACTACACTATTTATAATAATTTTTAAATTATATTATTTTATATTATAAAAAGTAAGTAATAAGCATGTAATTTAAATATAATAATTTTAATTTTTTTTACTTTAGGTTAAATAATAAAATATACTACGTATTAATTTAATTATTTAATAAATATCAAGTAAAGAGTAGATAAAAAATAAAAAATTAGAAAGTAGAAGTACCAAAATATTTTGAGAAGAGAAAAATGAGAGAAGAAGAGAGAGAAATTAATTATTTTATTAATATCATAGCTTGTTATATTTTGAGAGGCTTGCTTTATATAACAAGCCAAAGTTAAAATAATGCAAGTGTGTTATAATATAGAAAACCCCTTGGAGCATAAAAGTTGACATGACTTGCCAAATTATGGCATTTAGCAAGTCAAAACCTAATGATTGGAGATGCTCTAACCCATTCAACTCAAATTCAAAAAATATGAAGATATTTGAATTCATATTCGAGTGATAAAATAGTCGATATTTGAATTCAATTTTTTCCACATTTTTTAATATTACATTTTACAGTACGTAAATACAAAACATTAAGTATTCTTAAATTAATACAACATATGAATTAAGTTTCGAATTTGACTTATAATCTATATTTGCTTATATTATACAAATAACTTGAATTGTAAACAAATCGAATCTCTTACGGAGTACTATTTATATTCGCATTCAAAGAGATTTGAATAAAAATGCAATTCGATTTAATCAAATACCAATCAGACTTTGGATATAAAAACCTCAAGATGATTTTCTGGTTTTTTAATGTTTTATTCAAATTGAACTTATTTTAGAAAACAATGTGTTAAGAAAGGAGTACTTATAAGTTATAAGACACTTATAACTTATAAGGCATGCGTGTCCTACTGATGCTGCACTTTGCATGAAGGGACGGTGTTCCCGCAAGGTATCATTGCCAATCCACTGAATAATTTTGATTTAATATATTCTGTAAATTATCTGATTTAATTTTAATAAAAATAAGTAATAATAGAAAAAATAAGTCATGGAACAAAATCATACTTCCTCCGTTATTCCATAAGTAATGTCAATCTTTTCAAATTGGACATCCAAAAAGTAAAGTCATACTTCCTCTTTTAACATAACTTATTCCATTCTCTTGGATTCTAATTTTATTTTCTGTTTTGACTTTTTGATCAAATAGTAACACAATTTAATTACAAATTATGAAAATAGTATACTTAATTATAATAGAAGTTTAATATGACTGAGCTTATTTTAGGAAATAAATTTGATATATCAAAATTTTATTTCATTTAAATATTTAGATTATGTTTAGTCTGTGATTAAAAATGTTACTGTTTGATTAAAAAAGTCAAAACAAAAAATGTTTTTAGGTTCGAAAGGAGTATCATTTTAATTACTTTTACACTACCTCTTATCTTCAAACTTATTCATCATACCTTCTCTAATAAATTATTCTTACTTATTTTCATTCAATAACTTGTATACTCTCTCATACTTCAATCACTTGTATTGTCGGTGGGCGTTGCGTAGTTGACAAAGGTAGAAAGTGCAAGAAGATAGACTCGAGCTCAATTACTAATAACTGTGCCAGGAAGTAATTATGCAAGTTTTAGTTGCAAGATCCACTCCCTAGCTACACAAATATATAATTAAAGTCTAATTTATCTTCTCTTAGTAACCATCCAGCCATGTGTGAGAGAGTTTCAGAGATGAGGCTCATTCTTTTTTATTCTCATACTTCAATCACATCACATCAATTATACCTTAATCTTCATATTCAATAACCTAAAATTAAAAGATTAAGCTATTTTGTACCCTAAAATTTTTACATCACAGGCGTGCACTTTTATTTTGTACTAGCATGATGCTATAGTGATGGTTTACACATATACAAAATTTTACTCCCTCAGTCTTAAAATGATCTTTCCAGTTCAGTTTATAAAGTTTGACTGAAATTATTTTCAATTCAATTTATTTGATTATTGGTATAAAATTTAAAAAAATTGAAATTATGTATTTTAAAAGTAAATAAAAGGTTTTTCCAAAGATGATGTGATATGACTATATTATTTTATTAAATAACTAACAAAAATAGATAAAAAAAGTGATTAAAATTTGATCATGTAAATAATGACTAGAGAGATTATTTTAAGATGAAGGAAGTAATATGCATTTTTTAATCGTACGTTTGTATATGTATGAACTATCAAAGTGTTAGTATATATGTTTTGTGTTAGTTTGATGTATACTTTGATGTAATTTGTATGGTTGAAAATTAAAAGGTTAGGTGGTTAGGTGATTTTTCAATAGTTAAATCAAAGTTTTCATACGCTATGCTACTAGTAGAAATACGGAGTAAATACAGACTGTACAAAACGCGCCACCCTTCCCGCGTGAGCTAACACATTATGAACTCGACAGTCATCGTCAACGAGCAAAAAACATCGAAATCTCTGCCGTCGATCCCCACCCAATTCCAAGAAGGAACAATCTCAGCCCTCCACTGCTCCGTGCCCGGCACGCGGAGTCCACTCGCGTCACCGATCGTCAACCCCCTCTCCTGCTTTCTGCAGAATGGGATAGAAGATCCGGAGACATGAGTGGTAAGCGCAGCTCGCTAGATCTACCGGAGAGATTGAAGTTGACCCATAGAAGGCGTTCTACGGAAAAAGGTAAGTTCTTGCGGTGTTCATAGTTCTCATGTTTGCCGTAAACCCTAGCTATGTCTGTATGCTTGTCGGGGTCGATTTCATGGATTTTTAGGTCTTATGGTGACATCTCAGAAGGTGATTAGCTCGTGTTTGGCGAGAATTTAGTTGTTTGTTTGTGTTTTGTTGTTGAATTTGAAGATGTTTTAATGTGTTGCTTGCATATATGTTGAAATTTGATTTCTGGAAATGGTTGAATCAGAGGGTTGGAGTTGAATGCGTGATAAACGATGTTGGGTGATGGTGGTGGAGGAATCGGAAGGCATCAAGGGTCGGACCAGAAGCCGGAGTTGGGAGACAAAGTGTACACAAGGAAGTCATTTAAGGGGTTAAAGACCGGTAAGAACGGTGTTAATTTGACAGAAGAGCTGCAAATTCAAACCCCAGCTGAACCCCCTGTTAATTCCCTTCCGGACGCGCCCATGGAAGGTTCTTCAAGTCTGAATCGGACATCTACTGTGCCATTGGCCAGTCGCGGGTTGCTAGATGGGTTTGAAGGGGGGAAACTGGGACTTTCAAAGCAGGAGAATAGTGTAACAATTAGCCTTTCATCGCTGAAGTCTAAGCGAGAGATGCGAGAGCTGAGGAGGAAGCTGCAGAGTGAGTTGGATGTGATACGGAGTTTGGTGAAGAATATAGAGACAAAGGAGACACAACAGAATGACCCAACCCGACCTTTGCATCAGTTGAGTGTGTCTGTGTTGGAGAATAGTCATGCGGTATGCGATGACACTGACAAGGATAAGAGGACACCCAAGGCAAACCAGTTTTATAGAAAATCAGATTTTTTGCTCGCAAAGGATAAGATTCCACCTCCAGAAAGCAACAAGAAGACAAAAGCAAACAAGAATACGGGAAATGGTTTTGGGTCGGGAAAGTCACCCAGTCAAGTGTTCAAGAGTTGTTGTGTGTTACTGGAAAGGTTAATGAAGCACAAGCATGGATGGGTGTTTAACCAACCGGTTGATACTGTTGGTCTTGGTTTACACGACTATTATGACATCATCAAGCACCCAATGGATCTTGGTACAGTGAAATCCAGGCTGGATAGTAATTGGTACAAGTCACCTAGAGAATTTGCAGAGGATGTGAGACTTACATTCAACAACGCCATGACCTACAATCCAAAGGGACAAGATGTTCATGTAATGGCTGAGCTGCTCTTGCAGATATTTGAAAACAAGTGGGCTTTGATCGAGGCTGAGATTGGCCCACCTACTCCTGCATCTAGGAAGGGTCCTAAGCTCCCAAACTCTGAAACGAGAAAAGTTCTTAGCAGGTCGGAATCCATGACAACCCCAAAACTTAAACCTGCCAATCATTTGAACACAGGGAGAGTTGCTGCCCCAAAGAAGCCAAAAGCAAAGGATCCCGACAAAAGGGATATGACATATGAAGAGAAACAGAAACTAAGCATGAACCTACAAAATTTGCCATCTGAAAAGCTTGAAAGTGTGGTGCAAATAATCAGAAAGAGGAACTCTTCTCTCTGTCAACAGGATGATGAGATTGAAGTGGATATTGATAGTGTTGATATAGAGACTCTTTGGGAGCTCGATAGGTTTGTAACCAACTTCAAAAAGAGTTTGAGCAAGAACAAAAGAAAGATTGAAATGTCTGAACTTGCAACTCAATCAGTTAAGGGAGCTAAGCAAAATGTCCTGCAGAAGGTGGGTAAATAAAAATATACATATACGAGTATATATTTTTTATTTTTATTGGAGTGAATGCCCAATTTGGAGCCTTGACTATGTGCTATTACTCAGTTTGCTCATCAACTATAAACTATTGACCCACTTTTATCCTCATGCCCTGTTCGCGCTAATCAAGTAAGGTTTTTTTGGTAAGGTGTCGGTGATGACTAGATTGAGTCCAAATCATCACGTTTGGGGCCATTATGAGTTTGAAATTGAGTCTGAATTTAGAACAAACAAGAAATATCCTTCTTATTTAGAACCAAATATGCATGAGAATGGTTCAAAATTCATAGTTGAGGACTAAATTTAGCCCAATGAAAATTCTCTGACTAAATTTAGTAGTAGTGTATAATCGAGAAACTCAATTAGATATTATGTATTAACTCATCATGTTATTTAAGGAGCTCGTTACTTACATAACCCCGCAATGGGTGGGAGCCTTTGAGGCACTGGGTAATGTTGTTGATGTTTGTTGCATAACCTCTTCCTTTCTATTTCTGCAGAAAGATGCTCCCGTTGCAGGAGAAACTCCAACAGGTGGTCTAAACAATTCTTTGACAGAAGGCAGAGCAGGTGATATTTACTCCTAGTTAGGAACTACTCTTATGGAAACTGCAACTTTTTATTTGTGAAGTTTTTAGATCAAAGTTTTTTTTATATGATCATTTTTTATTTGAACTGTGTTAATGTTAGCAGAACGAAATGACATGTCCTCTGCTCCTGAAGGGGAAAAGCTTGAGAACAATGCAACTAAATCGCACATATCTAATCCTGATTCTGGATCTTCATCAAGTGGTATATAAAATAATAATAATAAGAAGAAGAAGAAGAAGAAATAATAATAATAAGATTATTATTATTATTATTATTATTATTATTATTATCTTCTTTCAGCATTTGCTTCTTGTACTAGTGAATGGTTGATAAGTGTTCAACACATACCTTATTTCTTATTGCAACAGAGTTTCATAGTGAAAGCTCTTCAGAAGGCGGATCTGATACAGAACGTTCACCTAAGAATTGAAGTAGTTTCCCTGGTAACATTGCTGCTCTGACTTTTATTATTACTATAGCACTCTCATATTTTCAACAAGGGGGTCTTTTTATTCTGTCCTTTTTTTAATTGTGTCCTTTAGGTATATGAGTTTCCTATAGATAGTGTTTGTAAGTCCAGTTCAATTTATCTGAAATTCTATATGAGTAGTATTCTTTTCAAATGAACATCCGTATTGAGCATGTGATGTGTATGTATATGTGGCTATATTTCATTTGTTGAATTCCATTAAAACTTTAAAAGCACCAGCATGGATGGTTAAGAGTTAAGAGTGGTGTTGGAGAGAGTGAGTGAGTAAGTGCGTGTGTGAGAGAGAGAAAGAGAGGAATCACATGAAGTTTAGTTAGGTTTGAAAATCGCGACCGTATTATACTGGTGTTAGCACAAGTAAATATCATTTTGATATATAAACGAACTAATAAATTTACAATGGTTATAACATATGGAAGGCAGATTTATAACTTTAATTTGAAACTTTGTTAATACATAACTGGTGTCCTATTTATATAGAACAGTACACCACAGTTGTGAAAATTTATACTCATCTTTACATTTTCCTTTTTTGATTTGTCCAAAACTATTCCCCATTTTCTTTTAGGAAAAACACTGTGTGGTTCATGCTATTTCTCGTTTCTCTAAATAAATCTCAACTGCACTGTCTTCAATTTCTTAATCTTCGTGCTCGGTCAAAGTTAGAAAGTGTTTGTGAGATACCCCCTCCGCCCCAAAATGAACTTCCATGTAAAAAGTGCACGAGATTAGGTCAAAAGTGTTGTTTAATTAAGAAATGGCTTTGATAAGATACAAGTAGAATTTGTGTAGGTAGTCGAGGTTGAAAGTATCTTTTGATTGATTTATAATTTCGAAAACAAAAGACATGGGAAGATGATTTTGGGATATCCAAGTATGTAAGTGGGAAGACAATTTTGGAACGGAGGGAGTAAAGGAGTAATAAGATGAAGAAATTTTAGATAAAATAATGACATTGTGAAAAAATATATCACTTGAAAATATGGAACAAATCAACAAACCATAATTATTCTGCAAAGTGTAATGTATCAAATTTGTACTCATCTAAAGAGTAGGGGCAGTCACCTCATCTAGACTAGAATTTAGGCAAACCCTTGGAGAGGGGAGAGGGAGTGTGTTTATATTCCTCTATTTGTTGGCCCTCAGTTTGATGATTAGAACTACAATTTATAGTATTTTGATGAGTTGATACAAGTACTCCATACCTTATATTGTTTGTGGCTGGCCAAAAGACAGTACTTTAGAAGTTGAAAGTGACAAGTTTCCAAAACCATTTGTTTGGAATAATTTCTTTGAACTTAAGTACTACATTTTGGCCTCATCTTGCACAAGTTTTGATCATGCATGTTTCATGGAATTCAGGAGAACCAAACAATCCTTGTGTAGTGCCAGATCCAGCAGCTAGCAGTAATGAACTGGCAATACGTTATGGATGGAGATGAGCTTTACATCTTCATCACTCTTGGCTTCCACAACAAAGTGTGTCTCCGGGACTACACGGTGTTTGTATAAATAGTGTAATAGTTATCTCGCGTTTTGTAGCGTGTAAGTATTGTGCGTTGCGATCTCACGTATGTATCTCGAGGGATTGGTGCATTTCCCTGGCTCATGTGCAAGTGAACATTGCAACATTTGTAATGATTTGTGTAAATTATTTAGAGCACCTTTGGGGCTTCTCTGTTGGCCTGGACTCCAAGGGCAACAATTTCAGCATTTTGAAAAAGATTATCTAAGGAAAATTATTTAGTTTTGGGATTTTGAAAATTAACTTGCATTATTAAAAAATTATCCAAAATGTAACGCTAATTAAAAATGTTATTATCTTAGCACTTTGGTTCCCATGACATTGGTTCCCAATGTCATGGGAACCTTCCCCTTATCTTAGAGGTCCTTTATAAGGATATCTTATCGTACCAAAGTAGTACTTGGGCTTTTTTTGACATATTGAATAATAAGGCTGAAATCCTTTCTTGTAAGAACGCTTGTTTGAAACTCTCTAAAAAAATTTAAAATTAAATTTTAGATGTATAAGAATCACATAATTTTTTTAATAAAATAATAAACAACTTGAACTTGTTATTTTAATAAATGATTACTAAAATATGAAAAAGAAAGATAAAATTTGATCAATGAATTTTGCAATTAGTAAACCTCAGTGGGTTGGAATCTTGACGGGAATCTGGTAAGAGCTAATATATTTTGAATATGTTACCTTTGACGCTTTGCATTATCTGTATTATACAGACATTTATTTAATCAAAAAATGATTTTTGTAAACTACTTTTGACACCACCTTTTTTAGACATTCTACTCTTTAGGGTGTCTGAATATCCCAAGAAACATACTATGTTTTGCATTTTAAGAGTATCCTCAATCTATTATACTAAATTCAAACTTAAAATATAGTGCAAACTCGTAACACAATAAATTATCCCTATCCCGTTACACTAAACTCAAACTCAAATCTTAATATATTCATTTTTATTATGGAGTACTTTTTATAGTATCTGAATTTAAAATAAAATTCATGAATCTATAAAAAATGCAGTTACATACGGAGGAATTATAAACTTCATCCGTCCTCAAAATCTTGTCTACCTTTGAACAATGTGTAAAATCTATTCTCTAAAAATTACTTTGTATTTTTTTTACACATTGGTAGTTATAAAATAAAAAGTATATATTTTTGAAACAATATCAAAAAATATATAAGTAAGATGAGATAAGAATATTTTATTTTATTAAAAATCCAACATTATCTAAAATATACTTCAAGATATATTTAATTTTCTATTAAAAACTCTTAAGTCTCACATTATCTGAAAAATAATTTGAGATTTTAAAAATTTGTGATATGTACATTTCGTCTTTTTAAGCATTAGAATTGAATTTTTTATTATAAAGAAGTGAACAACTGTATTTAAATTTAATACGGAGTAATTATGAAGTCAAAACAAGCTATATGAGGGTCGGTTGTAGAAATTGGGACGATTGGAGATGAATCTTCGTACCCAACACCTCCGGGAGAGCATGCTCGCCGCCGCCGCCGCCGCGCTCCGCTGCACGATCTGCTCTGCGCTACTCACCCCTCACACCTTTAATCCGATCAAGCTCTTGTCTTCTTCTTCTTCATCTTCGTACATTCATCACTATCCCCAAATCCCTAACCAGTGGTCGGGTCTGCACCACTGGAGGCACGGTCCTCCGAACCACGACCGTTTTTGGGGGCCCGTTGGGCCTGAGGTGGAGCCACCTGTTCCGGGGATCCCCGGCGTCGAAAGCTCTGAGCAATGTCCGGTGGGCTTGGGATCTTCTCTTGCAGAAATTGGCTCTCTGGTTCTCTCTACTGCTCACCCTCTGAGCAAATCAAAGCTTTCCCACTTGGATTATTGCAGGTGGCGTGAGGAGGGATTGCCCATTGGAGCCTGTCAACCGCCGGATAAGCCTGCCAGACCTCCATTACCCAATCTAGTTAGTGAATTTATACTCCTATTTAGTTCTCTAGTCTTCCACTTTGGCTGTATCAAATGAATTTTTTATACTTATCCTATTTTATTTTGACTCATTTTCAGTTTAGTTAAGTTCATATCATCATGCTTTCTGTTAAGTTATACTCAACTAACATTTGGTTAAAAATGATTAAGTTAAATTTAGTTCACTAAAAAAATGGACTCCGAATTATTGAGAATTATCAAAATGCCCCTTAAAGAGAGCTTATTGCCATTGTTGTCATCAATAAAGAACAAGCTCGTATTATGTTTTTTTTGTTACTTTACCCTCATTCATAAAATTTGAGGTGTTTAGGACTTTAGGAAAGTGGACAAGTAAATTCAGAGTGAATATATTGTTTGTTTTCATTTTTGCGATGTATTATAATGATGATTGAAGGCAAGAGGGAAATTTATGCATCATTTGATTTTTACTTAATCCAGGTTTCACCAAAAGAAATCCCATCTCACAAACAATTGGGGTTACCCCTTAATGCCTATATGCTTCATAATCTTGCTCATGTGGAATTAAATGCCATTGATCTGGCATGGGACACTGTTGTTCGATTTTCACCATATCTTGAGCTCCTTGGTGAGGGATTCTTTGCTGATTTTGCTCATGTGGCTGATGACGAGAGCCGCCATTTCGCTTGGTGTTCTCAGAGATTGGCTGAGCTAGGGTTCAAGTGAGTAGACTTCCAATGTCACAATGTATGGTGTTGTAGTTTTGTCTAGTGGATTTTAATTGATTTGTGTCGCCTTTTCCTTGAACCCACAGATATGGTGACATCCCTGCTCACAATCTGCTTTGGAGAGAATGTGACAAGACATCTTGTGACGTTGCTGCACGCCTGGCCGCTATCCCACTAGTCCAGGTGCATATGAAGAAGAACACACTGAAATTGAATTGCTAGTTTTAGATGATCATATGTTGCCAAGTATGCATTTATAACCAATCAAATCTAATAATAAAAAATTATAGTTTTGGGACAACAAATAAGCTACAAGCCCTTGTGGAATTCTTGGCTTTCATTCTAAAAGGTTCCAGCTTTGAAATCAAGATGAAGCCATGTGGTTAAAAATCTATCTGGGCATGTTTCGGTGTACACTGTAAAATTAAATCCAATCCAATGATCTTTTCCTTTTGAGTTGAGGGTTAATTGCAAATAGTCCCTCTACCCTTCGCAGGAAGAGTTACCCTTCATAGATCGAGCTATGGGAATACACTGGATATGTTGTTTTCGATGATTCAAGTATTTTTATTATCAGCTATAATGTTATTCCTTCAGTTTTACAAAATGTTAAATATATTTCAATCTAAAAACTTAGGGGTTTCTTTGGACTTGGATGGAAGTTATTAAAATGTTATATAGTCACATACATATTATTAAATTAAGCTTTCAAGTTTTGTCATCCAAAGCATTTACTTCCAAACCAGACCAAAACCCTCCATTGTAATGATGTAGGAGGCTAGAGGTCTAGATGCTGGTCCCCGACTCGTGCAAAAATTAATTGGCTTTGGAGATCACAGGACTGCTGACATTGTGGCTAGAATTGCAGCTGAAGAAGTAGCACATGTCGCAGTTGGTGTATACTGGTTTTCTTCTGTTTGTCAGAAGATGAATCGCCCACCTTGCAACACTTTTAAAGGTCAGTAGCTCTCTAGTTTGTACTAAGAGCTAATACCCTATATATATACATATATACATATACATACATATACATACATACATACATACATACATACATACATACATACATACATACATATATATATATATATATATATATATAAATATATATATATATATATATATATATATATATATATATATATATATATAAAATATAATATTGCATGCATATTTTGCAGATTTGTTGAAGGAGTATGATGTGGAGCTGAAGGGACCTTTCAACTATACGGCCAGAGATGAAGCTGGGATCCCAAGGGAATGGTAAGGGAAGGGTAATCATTTCAATGATACAATTATCTTAGCTTCTCAAATGAACTTAGAGAACCTTGCATCTTATGCTGTCCAGGTACGATTCTTTGTCCTCAAAGAAAGAAGAAGATCAAAATCCCCTTTCTCAGGTATCTTATGCATATACTATGATCTGATATAGAGATTTGCAATTTTTAGTACACAAGGTAAAAATGGAAGTGATGCTCCAGTTTTAGTCAACCAATTCTATTGAAATTCCATCACCAGCTTCAGTTAACATGAAAACAATATAAAGAGCTCTTTAAATACCTTATAGGTGTATGATAGACTGGCTTGCATAGTTTCTATGGAAAAGGAGAACTCTAACATGTAGAGCGGATTCCAACCAATCTCCATGAAGAAAGCAACTTGTACATTTCTTTGAGGCCATGATTTGAACTCCAAAATGGTTAGTGTGCTGACATTTGACTCTAATAGATTATACATTTTTGTAATTTTGTCAGAACCATTAACGCTGGTTTTTAAAAATGTTTGTGTTGGAGAGAGATAATTTAACACCTCATCTAAAAAAAGTCATGTTCGATCCATGTGCAACTTTTATCATAAACTATATATGAATTTATACTTGTATTTTTAACTTCTTTTTTTGGTCTCAATACTTCTTATTGTATTGAAAAATATAGTTTATACTCATTTTTATCTGTATTACAATTTTTATTTAAACATATAAAGAATGTGATTGACTTTTCTTAGCAGCATTATTAGAGCAGAAAACTCATTAACTGTATCATGTGGGGGTGGACTGCAGGGACATCATATGACTTTGTGGAGTTTCAAGTGGGATATGTTAGGTGAAAACTTCTTCTGTCAGTCAACAGAAAACAATGTCAAATGAAGCAGCCGTGGTGGACCTTAAACCAAACATTTCCACCAACTCCCTGAACTTTTAAAATAAGGCATCCACAAGGCAGCAAGGAAGCTGCAAATGGTGGATTCAGAGTGGGGAGAAATGGGAAAAGTTGAGGTGATATCAAAATGCTTAGTAGGAGCAGCCATGGTGGAAGGAGACCCACGAATTTCCCACATCGACTTGACGCCGTGGGACCTAAAGTCCCTTCTCGTTGGCTACATCCAGAAAGGGCTCATCTTCCACAAACCCAATAACCCTCCAACGCTGCAGCAAAACATGTTTGTAATACCTCACTTGAAAACCTCACTCTCTTCAGCTCTACATTTCTTCCCACCACTTGCCGGCCGTCTTGCGGTCACAAAGAATGATGATGGAACAACCTCAGTTTCGATTAACTGCAACAACGAAGGAGCCGAGTTTGTCGTGGCCCGTGCCAGTGACGTGACTGTCGATCAGCTCCTCGGGCCCACCAACGTGCCTCCCCTCATCCGTTCATTCTTCTTGTTTAACCGTGTGTGCAACTATGAGGGCATCTCCAAGCCTTTGTTGGGTGTCCATTTGACCGAGCTCGCCGACGGTTACTTCATCAGCTGTTCTATCAATCACTGCGCAGCGGACGCTTCCTCATTTTGGCATTTCTTCAATTCTTGGTCCGAAATCTCTCGTGGTTTTCGCAAGTTGTCTCTACCTCCCGTTCTCGACCCGTGGTTCCCGGAGAACGTTGCCCACCCGCTTCGTCTCCCGTTTGATCTCGAGAAAGAAATGCTATCAGATTCTTTCACCCCACTCCCATTCGAAGAAAGAGTGTTCCATCTAAGCAAAGAAAACATCGGTCTTCTCAAAGCAAAAGCCAACTCCGAAATGGGAGTAAACTCCATATCCTCACTGCAGTCATATGTGGCTCACCTGTGGAGGGCAATCACCCGTTCCCGTTGTGTAAATGCCACCGAGGAGGTCAGCATATACGTTCCGATAGGCGCAAGATGGAGGGTGAATCCCCCTCTTCCGGAAGGGTACTGGGGGAATGCAATTTACAGCAGAGTGGTGAGGGTGAAATCCGGGGAGTTGCTGGGGAGGGGGCTCGGCTGGGCTGCCTGGGAAATACACCAAGTGGTCGCCGCGCAGAAACATGAAGAGGTGGTGCAGTTTTACAATGGGTGGGTGAGATCTCCGGCGGTGCCGCAGAAGAAGGAACTGTTCTGCGCCAACTTTCTGGGCATTGCAAGTTCTCCTAGAAACGATGTGTACGGCGTGGATTTCGGGTGGGGGGAGCCGGTGGCGGCGAGGTGTGGGATGGACAATAAATCTGATGGGAAGTTCAGCCTGTTTCCAGGGGTGGAAGGAGATGGGAGCGTAGACATCGAGGTATGCCTTCTTCCTCAGACGCTGCGTGCTTTGGGAAATGACAGAGAATTCATGGAGTTCGTTACCCGGTGAGCTAAATCTTATATATATATATATATATATATATATATAAAAGTTGAATCAAAATCAAGCTTTCAATTTCAATTTTAGATCTAACGGCCCAATTTCAATTGAATGTGATTGAGCAAATCTAGACCATTGATTACCAGCAATGGTATTATTGTAATAAATTTAAAATGGGTGGTTATTCCTAATACTCTGTAAAACTATAGCACCGTTAAGGTACCCCACGTCTCCAAATCCTCCCTTCCACATCTGTAAAACTGTAAAAGATACGTGGTAACTCGATCAGCAGCACAAGCAGAGACACGAATTTGGCATATCTTCATCTTAATCTCTGCTCTCGAATTGATCCGAATCCGGCAAGGTCGAATCCGGTCAATGAACGGCAGATAGGTTTAAGCATGACTTTTGGGGATGGGTTAATGCGTTGGCGACTTGGGCCGCTGGACGGATCTAGATGACGGTGATTGAAGCCCTTATCCTCACTTCAGATCTTCATCAAAGCTCCCATCTTTGAAATCTCTGCTCAGCTCTGCCTTTATCTGTAAGCTTCTCCATAACTTGCATTTTTGTGTACTGGTTTCTTGTACTTTTCTTGAATTTGTATGCGCGAATCTGTGTGTGTAAAACTGGGAAAAATGATTACCATCAATGAATGAGGTTGAGGTTTTTGTGGCAAAGACTCTTTCTCAAGACATATCTGATTTGAGGGTTGTTTGATTTTATCTGCCAATTCTATTTTCTGGGTGGAGTTGACTATGACCAATGGCGGAGGAGAGGGGGGGCTTGCCAGGCGTGGAAATGCCCCCCACTGAATTCAGATCTATTGCAGCGTCCTTTCTTTCCTGAAGCACATTTGGTATTTTAATTTATTTAACTAAAACGATTTGGGCAGTTCTCCTTGCATGTTTTTCATTAAAAGCTTGGATTCTTTAATTATAGTTTTTTATTTGTTTTTTCAATTGAGGAATGATGATAAATTCATATTTTAGTTGGATACTTTTTTGTTTGTGTTTTTGTTTGCTATAACGAGAGATTATTTATTATTAAATATACAATAGTACTGTTTTATTGTTTAAATTGAAAAATAATTGATAAATTTATGACTTAATTGAACAATTTGTAGTTTGCATTTTTTCTTTCCTATTTGTGTTTGTGTCAAATTAAAGATATTGTCATTTTATTGGAGTACTTTTTTGTAATTTTGTATTGGCTTTGGGGAAAAAAATCCGGGGATGCTGCCCCCAGACCCCGCTATGCCCCCCCTGCACTTTAGAACTCCTGGCTGCGCCACTGACTATGACTACATACAGGGAGGTTTGAATGTTTCTGTTTTTTCTAGGTTGTTTAATAGAAACCTTTAATGCCAGTTTCACAATTAGCACTGGTTGTGCAATGTTAATGTCTGACATCTTCTAAAGTGATTTATTGTTACTGGGGATAATTCCGCTTTACTTTCGCTTTACTCTGCATTATGTCTCACATGTTTTGGGGATAATTCCCTAGCATTTATTTCACCAATTAGACATAATCGTTTTCATAATAAATGGACATCAATGTTTTCGCTACATACGGTTTTTGGACCGCCCATGTAACCCTAGCGCTCCGTTGGGTCGCGGGTGAACCGGGTCCACAGAAGGCGGGTGTTACAATTATACTCCGTATCTCATCTCCAGGCCCTCTACTCATTTTCAACCCCAATCCTTTTAATTTATTTTTCACCAGTTCCGCAATCCCCATAATAAATACACTTTTCTAGCTGTTGGAAGTTTTTAGATAAATTGGACATTTTCGGACTTAAATTCGGTAGGGTCCACAAAATTATTTTCCGAAATAGTTATGGACGTTTAATCTCGTAAGTAAGATAAATGTTTCGACATATTACACGCCATAATTAGTGCTCGGATTAATGAGAAATTAATTCTCAAAGTTGAATATGAGGGAAGTGTAAAACTTTTGTCCCACACTGGTTTTTTGAACCTTTCGGATTCTCATATTTAAGCTTAAGTATTTAATTGAGCTTATGAAAGGAACAAGAAGAGGAATCCTTGCGCGCCGCGGCTGCCGCCGTCTGTCCGGCTCGTCACGTCACGTCACGTCATGGCACGCACGCGCGCGCGTCGGGTTAGGGCGGGGCGTGGAAAGACTCTCTCTGTAATACGTATAGTCTTCCAACAATTCCCCGGATTCCGATCACATTCTCCGGTAGTAACGTCTCGTCATTCTCGTTCGTCGGTGCACGGTTCTACCGCCCTAGGCCTTGCACGTAGGAGTTTTATCCTGGGAGGAGATTGCCCATGTTTGCCAAAGCGGGAGGCGGACAATACTACCTTAAGGAAAGCTCCGGCGACTCCGCTTTCCTTACCTCTGCTCACGAAACTTCTCCGGCGACACCCTACCACCCGACGTCTCTGCTCAGCGATCCGTTCGTGTTCCCGCTTCCGTTTCAGTTCGTTCCAGCTTCCCGAAGACTCCAATTTACTTATTTATTTTCGTTGTAATATCCAGACGTTTATAAGTTCGGATTATTTTATTTTTCTTTTTATTCCCGCTGTAATATTCATCAATCTTAAGGTAGTATTAATGGAGTTTGGATTCGGCATCGCGGGTTCCTCCGGCAACGGAATGAGTTCTGAAGTTCCGGTAGAAACCTCTTCGGTCGCCATGGTTGTGCCATCCTCACCGCTGCCCTTGGAGTCAAGTGTGGGGGCCGCCACCATGACCTCCTTTTCGATGCCGAGCTCGATCTTCGGGTCGGCCCCTCGACCCATTCCGGGGCTCGAAACCACGGGTGGTTACCCTGTCGGTAATACGAACCCGTTCCTTGGACCGTCTATGGCTTCGGCCACGACGGTCAACTTCGGACCGAACACGAGTTTCAACGCACCGGTCAATCCATTTGTCGGACCTCATTGGGCGTCCAACGGGCCTTTCCTCCATACGCCCAATGAAGTAGGGCCAATTTCAGTGCCCACTAGTACGGTCCAAAGGCCACCAAAGTTCAATGGCACGAACTTCAAAATGTGGCAACAAAAGATGACGTTCTTCTTGACTGTCCTAGGATTTGCTGAATACCTACAGCAAGATCCTCCTGAGGCGAATGACAATAATGACCCCCCCGTGGCGATGGTGAACCAAGCATGGTACCACAATAACTATCTCACCATCAACTACATCCTCAAGGGGTTGGCCGAGACGCTGTATTGCGTCTATGCCGGTGCAAAGCTTGGAAAAGAGCTTTGGAGTAGCTTGAACAAGAAGTATCAAGCTGAAGATGCCAGCACGAAGAATTTCATCGTCGGGAAGATGCTGGACTACAAGATGGTTGACAGCAAATCTGTTGTCGCCTAGGCTGAGGAGCTTACAGTAATCTTCAAAAAATGCAATGACGAGAAAGTAGGCGTCAGCGAGGCCTTTCAAGTGGCAGCCGTCATCCACAAACTTCCACGCTCTTGGGAAGACTTCCAAGCCGATCTCAAGCTCAAAAGAACGGAGCTGAACCTGGAGCAACTGCTCACGCGGTTGAGAATCCGAGAGGAGGGGCTTGCTAGAAGAGGTGGAGGGGCAATGGCGAAAGTGGTAAAACATCCGTCGGGCTCTTCACATGGCGGGAAGGACAAAAAGAAAATAGGTCCTAAGGGTGGGGTTTCTAAATTTGCAGGGAAGTGCTACCATTGTGGCATTACCGAACATCGTTCCTCCGATTGTAAGAAAAAGAAGCCACAAAAGAACAAGAAGAAAACCACCAAAGCCATGTGCGCAGAGCTCGACAACTTGGACCTCTGCGCACTCGTCACCGAGGTGAATCTCGTCGGGTCAAACCCGAGGGAATGGTTTGTGGACACAGGGGCATACGTCATATTTGCTCCAACCGGAGCATGTTTCACGAATTTCAAGAGACCTTCGGTGACAAGGTCTGGATGGGCAACTCGGCCCAATCAGAGGTTCAAGGGGTTGGTAAGATTAAGCTAAAAATGACCTTCAGCAAGGAGCTAACGCTTAATGACGTGCTCTATATGTTAGACATTCGCAAGAATTTAGTGTCGGGGTCATTGCTGATCAAACACAGCTTTCGGATGGTGTTTGAATCAGATAAGCTAGTCTTGTCCAAGAAAGGCATTTTTATAGGAAAATGCTATATTTTCGATGGCTTGTAAAGCTAATTGTAATGACTATTCATGAAAAGATTAATAAAAATCCCGTTGCTTATGTGTGTAAGTTTTCTAGTTTATGGCATGGTAGACTAGGACATGTTAATTATGCATCTCTCCGGAAATTAATTAACATGGAACACATACCAAAGTTTAGTATTGACTTAACTCACAAGTGCAAAACTTGTGTTGAGGCAAAGTCAACTCGAAGTTCGTTTCAAACGATCGAACGAAATACTCAACCTCTAGAGTTGGTTCACACCGACTTGTGTGATTTTCGAACAATGCCTTCAAGAGGGGGTAATAAGTACTTTAGTACCTTCATCGATGATAGCACGAAATATTGCTATATCTATTTACTGAAAAGTAAAGACGAAGCGTTAGATACTTTTATTCGATATAAGAATGAAGTGGAAAATCAACTCAATCGTAAAATTAAAGCATTGAGAAGCGATAGAGGTGATGAGTATGATGCTCCACTAAATGAGTTTTGTGCACAACACGGACTATTGCATCAAGTAACCCCACTGTATACACCACAGTCAAACGGCGTAGCCGAGCAGAAAAATTGCACTCTGAAAGACATGATGAATGCGATGCTACTTAGTTCTGAATTACCCCAGAGCATGTGGGGGAAGGCTGTTTTATCAAGTAATTATTTACTAAATAAAATACCTCGTAAGAAACTTGACAAAACTCTGTATGAACTTTGGCATATTAAGAAACCTTCCTATAAGTATCTCAAAGTGTGGGGGTGTCTCGCGAAGGTACTTGCACCACCACCGAAGAAGATGAAGATCGGTCCAAAAACAGTTAATGGAATCTTCATCGGGTACAATAGTACGTCATACCGGTTCTTGGTGTACAAATCAGATAATCTTGAAATTCACAAGAACACAATCATAGAGTCACGGAATGCAACATTTTTCGAGCACATTTTTCCGTGCAAGTTGAGGGACGAAGCTAGTACGTCCAAACGTTCTCATACTGAGATGATAGATAACAATGATCTAAATTAGTTGAATTCCGGTGACGATGATGAAGTCGAACATGAAACTGAATTGAGACGGAGTAAAAGAATACAAACTGAAAAGACGTTCGGTTCTGACTTCATAACATATCTGATAGAATTTGACAAAGGAACTTTGTCATTCTTAATGGAAAATGAACCCGATATTTTAACTTATTTGGTAGAAAAGGAACCACGAACCTATCACGAGGCCATAACCTCAACTGAGGGACCTCAGTGGTGAGAAGCCATAAAAAGTGAGGTTGATTTTATTCCTCAGAATCACACATGGGAACTGGTTGATCTCCCTCCAGGGTGTAAGCCATTAGGTTCTAAATGGGTCTTTCGGAGGAAAATGAAGCTTGACGACTCCATTGACAAGTACAAAGCTAGACTTGTGATCAAGGGGTATAGCCAACGCGAGGGCTATGACTACTTTGATACTTATGCGCCTATGATTAGGATAGATTCTATCAGAATGATCATCGCATTTGCATCCTTACGAAACCTGGATGTTTACCAAATGGATGTAAAGACTACCTTTCTAAATAGTGAACTAGATGAAGAAATCTATATGGAACAACCCGAGGGGTTTAAGGTTCCGGGCCAAGAAAAGAAGCTTTGCAAACTTGTGAAATCATTATATGGTCTTAAACAAGTGCCAAAACAATGCCTTGATAAGTTTGACGAGATAATGATGAACAACAGTTTTAAGATAAATTAGTTGGATAAGTGCGTATACTTTAAGGACACATCTGAAGGGTATGTCATTTTATGTGTGTATGTAGATGACATACTCATCGTTGGAAGCAACGATAGGATGATTAAGGCCACCAAGGACATGTTGAACGCACGATTCGATATGAAAGATTTGGGTGTGACTGATGTGATTCTTGGAATCAAAACACTAAGACGCCGATAAATGTAAATCCCACTACATTGACAAAATCCTTGAAAAATTCAACAAGGATGATACAAAGATAGCTAAGACGCCGATAAATGTAAATGTTCACCTTGGTAAACACTGAGGGAGTAGCGATTCTCAGACAGAATACGCTAGAGTTATAAAAAGTCTAATATATCTGATGAGCTACACACGGCCAGTTTTAGCTTGCACCATTAGCAAACTAAGCAGGTATACTAGCAATCCAAGCACTGAGCACTAGAAGGCCATAGTTCGAGTGGTGAGATACCTTTGGTATACTCGAGATTATAGCCTATGCTATGGCAAGTATCCACCCGTGCTGGAAGGGTACATTGATGCCAATAAGATTCACTACTACAGAACAAGCTTTACACAACAGAAAAATTTGGCTTCACAGCGAAAAATATCCGATGTGTATCCAGCCGATGGGAAAAGTCTTGGCTTTAGACAGCAGATAAACATCTACTGTGTAAAGTTTAGACACCAGATGTTTATCCGTTGTCTAAAGCCAGGACTTTTCCCATCGGCTCGATACACAGCGGATATTTTTCGCTGTCTAAAGCCAACTTTATTCGCTGTGTAAAGTTAGTAGTTTAGAAAGCGGATATTTATCCGATGTCTAAAGTCACTATTTATTTAAAAAATTAATATTATTTTAGACTAGCTACTACGAAATACAATAATATATGCACACACATTTTTATTAAGCTATAGTAATTTTTAACAATATACATACATAATATGTTTTAAACAAACAATATATTTTATTACAAGAAAAAAGACATAAATATTACAAGTTACAACCCATTACACACAAACTAAAACCTATCATTTACGTGGATCAAGGTGTAGAATCAAGGGTATTGTATAAATTTACAAAATAACTACATAGCTACAACGCAGAGACTTCATATAGGGAATAAAAGATTCTCCATTCCAGCAATCCACCAAGATGCTCAAAATCATCTGCATATCCATTTGAAACATCTTCACTATCAAGAAGTAGAAGAAAGGATAAATATAAGAGTTATTTGCATGAATTCAATTTTTTACAGAATGTAGTTTCCACTCATATATTCAAAAAAACATGGGGCCTCGGTTTTTAGTGGTAGTTTTATCGTAATTGAACAACTTCTACTTGAGTAAGTGGAATTTGTGACAAACCTTGCAACCTTTGATGAAAGAGTGTGGACACCATATTTCTCCTTTTCCAAATGGACCTTAAGATGGAAAAAAATAAAATATATCTCACTGCACATCAGAAGGGGTTGGTTTCATGCTAGTAATTTTAAATTACTAGAGCAACTTGCTTATATTTGGGAAAAGTTAATATCATTACCTTGTAATATGCATACGCTAGAAAATCAAAGATAATGCTAGTTTTTTCCATAGAAGAATACATTGCACCTTTCTAGTACGGAAACAAACTTTCTCAAAACCACTTACAAATCACCTTCAAATTCTAAATAAAAGAACCTCTTATCAAACAATGATATATATATGTGTGTGTGTGTGTGTGTGTATATATATATATATTATTAATATTATTGGAACAGTCGGTTACAAGCAGGGGGCTGAGGTCCGTTAACCTCGTGACCGCCCCGGGGCCCGTTAAACACCCGAGGCAAATAGCCCACTATAAGAAGCCTAATGAAAGCCCAATCTAAAGCCCAACCCCATAAATCTGCAAACACTTCCCAGGGGGTCACCCATCATTTCTGCTACTCCATGGCCAGCACGCTTAACTCCATTAAAATTCCCCCAAAGTTGCCCCCTTATGAGGATTGAACTCGGGTGGTGTGGTGCGCCAATCAACCCTGTGACCATCTCTACAGGGGGGAACCACACACACACACACACACACACATATATATATATATTATATATGTATGTATGTATGTATGTATGTATGTATGTATGTATGTATGTATGTATGTATATATATATGTATATATATCATGTAGAAGCAATGTAAATGATAAGAAAAAAATGCAAAAATTGCACCTTTGAGTCACCAACTTGACAATAGCTTCCTTAGTCAAATTGTATATGAAGGGTTAGGATTCACCATTGTAGTCTAGAAAAAGAAACACAAAACAAATATTTAAAAGCATAATTACAAGTTTCATAAAATGTGACAACTTCAAACGGATAGAGCTTCTTACACAGATGAAGGAAAAATAATGTCTACTTTATTCATGTTTAAACACATTCAGATTCTTGCACTAGTGAAACTCACACATTCAATGTACCAAAACCATTAAACCTTGATGAAAGACAACGAAGAACAAGAGCAGGGCAGTAAGAAAACCAAGAATTAAAGGGGTAAAAATAGCGTAAATTGAATCCACAATCCACAGGTAGATATTGTTAATTATCAAAAGCAAGGATCTTGTAACCAAAATTTTAATGGCATGGGATATGATTCAGAATAAAACAGCATCTATTCGTCAAAATAAATTAGAGTATAAAAAGAAATACGCACCTGTTTTTGGGGAGATCAGCACCTATGAAACACGGGCAAAGAAATAAAAAGTGTAGCATCCAAAGATTTTT